TAAACACATGATGAATGGCATTAATTATATTACTCTCCTTTAATTCTTTATTATTTGAGTCCTGTATCAGCCACTCTGTTATTTTGCTCAGGATTGATATCAGGCTGACAGGCCTATTTACTTGAATCATCTTGTTTACCCTTTGAAAATGTTGGTGCATTAGCTTTCTTCCAGTTTTCTGGAATTTCCCCAATGTTCCAAGAGTTGTTGAAAATCAACACAAATGGTCCAGCAAACTCCTTGGCCGGCTCTTTTAAATCTCTTGGATTCAAGTTACTCAGACTTGCTGATTTTAAAATATTTAACTTTGGTAGTAGCTGCTGTTTAACATCCTTCTGTGTTACTATTAGAATGGAAAGTGTTTCTTTATCATATGAGAACTACATTATCTCTGTTTTTCCCCCCAAATACAGAAGAGAAATATTTATTGAACTTTCTGCATTATTATTGAAAGCTCTACCATTTCCATCTAGTAATGGACTGATACCATTGTTAGGATTCTTTTTGTTCCTCTCATTTTCCTTAACTCTACTGCCCATAGATTGTTCCTTGTTTCTTTCAGCTTCCCTTATCAATGGTCTACAATTCCTAGTTTCTGATTTAATCAACCTCCCCTTCAATTTGTTATATTGTTTTATTTGTTACAGCTGCCTTTACTTCCCCTCTAAGCCAAGTTGTTTTTTAGCCAGTACAATCTTTTTTTTCTCAATTGTGAGACTGGCTTTTTGGGCCTCTAGTAAAATGTTCTTGAACAATTCCCAATTATTCACATTTTTCTGTTTAAATGTGATTTGGCTCATAATAGTTTAGTTTTATGAAATTAGCCCTTATAAAGCACCAAGTATACGTATTACTGGTTTGAACTTTATTTGGTTTGCACATAACAAATGTGATCACTTGTATCTAAGCTACCCCAAGCTACCCCTTCTATCAGGAGAAGATCTAATATAGAATTCCCCCATGTTGGTTGCAATGCTTTTGAGATAGGAAATTGTCTATGTTTTGAAATTCTGAGGATGTTTTAGTACTGGCAGCATATGAAACCTCCAGTGTCTGTTGGTCAGATTGAAGTCCCCCATGATCATGCAGCTTTTTTTCTATATGTTCCTAAAGAGCTGGTCATCCTGTTCAAATCACACTAAGGATGGTTTGTGGGAGATACCAACTGGTACCCTATCTTGTGCTTAATCTATTAGGACACTGATCCAAAAGCATTCAAGATCATTTTCTTCCAAGTTGTCAGTGACTTAGAAGCAGGTAATGTCATTTTTGACATGAAGTGTCACTTCCCTTCCCCTTTTGCCCACTCAATCCTTAATAATTAGGTTATAATCTTGATGGTTCTGGACACAAGTGGGGTGAGGAAGTCTGGGTGAGAGGAGAACATATATTACAGCATTCTACAGTCACTACTTCTTGGTAATTGCTTTGCCTCATTCAGGTTGGATGGTGCTCGGTGAATGAAGCAGGGATGCATTCATTGAACAGGGAAGATACAGTAATGCATTGAAATAATGTATCAGAATATTTCATTTATTAAAATATTTAAAATAACTAGATAATTTTCCCAGTGGGAATTAGTATTTTTAAAATTCTTTGAAAGCAATTGTTTTCCTCTTTGCTTCTATTGTTAATAAGCTGTTTAAAAATAAGTGCTGTACCTCTTTCTCCTTCACTGTGCATCGTGCATCTTGTGTGCTGAATAAGGAAATGAGCATTCTGAATTAATAGTATGCAATTAACAATTGCTTCCTAATCCACATGTAGCGTATAGGGGAACTGGGAAGCACGGATAAGAAACCAATTGCAGCCTCGCAGAGTTAGGCCTATGTGTGGGGCAATAATTAGGCTTTTCCTGGCTTTTGAGTGATTGACTGTGCTTTGCATGAAGTATTTATATAAGTCAGATATTGTGTGCTACACTAAGCATGAGTTGGTGTTTTGCGCGACAAAGATGGACTTGCACACCTTTTTTTTTCATACAATTAAGCACATCCATAAGTGCTTTACTGAATTGGAGCCTAAGTGTCCAGTGGTAGGGCGTTGCCTTGGAAGCCCAGGAGATCACTTTCTGCTTAATTTTTCCCATCTGCCAAACAGGGATTGAGATGCTCTCCCCACTTCATAAATTACTTCCAAACCCATGAATGAAAATGGTAAATAATAACTTTGCTCTTTCTATGTAGCAAGAAGTCTTATTGTTAGTATTACATGAATAATGATGATCTGTTTGATGTTGATGATTTCTTAACGTTCATAATCATTGTGTATTGACTGCTCAAAATACTTAGAAACCGTAACAAAATTGTTTCAGTTCTACCCATGCTCTTGATAATTTGTAATGTATAGTTGACTTAAGTAGGATTTTTGTCTCTTGAATTTCCATTTTCTCTATAAAAAGAGTGAACATCAGTCTCCCAGTTTGTCCCTAGTGTCATGACACTCACAAATTTAATCTCCATCGTTGGAAAAACAAAACAAAAACGAGCATTTTGTTTTCCATAGACCAAAAAAAAAAAAAGTAATGGGCCAAATTTAGAGTGGCTGAAAAAGGTATAATTCAATTGAAGTCTCTAAAATTACTCTGGCTTTCAGTAGGGATAAATATGCCCCAGGGTTACCATGCGACTGACTCATTCTGTTGTGGGCTTATCACTTTTATATCCAGGTCCTTTTAAGGTATCTACGTCAACAATGATATAAATACTGTTTTTCTCCAAAAGAAAATGGGGTGGGGAGAATCCCCATTGAACTATGGTTAGGTCCTAGCCTTAAAATCTTCAAGTAATATCAGTATATTGTACAATGGCTACACTGCAAACATAATTTTGCAGCTTACCTTTTTTATAGAATATGCAGACTTAGAAATGTCAGACCCACTGCTCCTCTTTAAAAGCCAAACATCTGAAAACCTGGATTTTGGATCTTTATGACCTGTAGTTTGCCAGTGACACTCTTGATACACTTGCCAGGCAATGTGAGAATCCGCTATCCAGGTTTTACTCTGATCTTGAAGCTTCTCACGCTGAAACTATTAAAGCAATGAGCAGAACTTAGGAAAGGATTTGCTTCTTGGTTTATTATTTAATAGAAAATGCCTTCAAAAGTATAACCAGAAACCTTGGACCAGTTTTTCACAGGGTATGTAAAATTCATGGGTTTCTTGACTTGTGTTCTGATCTAATGTCAGGACTTATCGGGTAAGAAAAAACCTATTAAAAATAAAGCGAGTATGCTTATGCCACCTACAATCAGCCTCTTTTTGGATTGAATTATTAATGGGAAGCTGGAGGGGGAGGCATTTGTTTTTTAAATAATTTACAGGTAAATATTCTGCAAGGTAGGAAACTGACAGGGTCAAAAAGCTTAGAATAGAAAAGTATTGATATGAGAAAATGGCCTAGAGCAGGAGTTCGGGACCCCTCAGGGGGTCACGAGGTTATTACATGGGGGTCGTGAGCTGTCAACCTCCACCCCAACCCCGCTTTGCCTCCAGCACTTATAAAGTATTTTTAATTTATAAGGGGGGTCACACTCAGAGATTTGCTATGTGAAAGGGGTCACCAGTATAAAAGTTTGAGAACCATTGGCCTAGAGAGAGGACAGGGTTAGCAAAGGGAAATCATTCAGGGTGAAAGGGGGGATACTTTGTGGGTAAGTGTCAGTCCCACTTCTGTTTTTTTTGTTACGTAAATGGCCTTGACTTACACAAGTGAATAAATAGAGAAAAGCAGAGAAACAAATATTCCCGAGAGAGTGCTGTGTGAATTTCAGTGTAAATTGAGTGATTGATGAGAGAACCAAAAGTAGGCATATGGTCAGATTCCTTCCTGCTGTGATCAACAGGGGAGTGATTCAACCAGAGAAAACAGGTGGTAGTACTGCTCCCTCGCAGTTGCCACTGGGAAAAGGCAGCTCTGAGTTATGTCAGGAACCCTGCTGGTATAGGATGCGCTGGATCAACATATCTCCCAGCTGCTCTGAACCTGCATCCCCTTC